AAAAAAAAACTTATTGCAAAGCTGTGGATGGTCTTGGCAGAATGGTAGACATACAGATTAATGGAATAAAATTTGGAGTTCAGAAACCCCTTCATGTTATAAATATTTTATTTGCCAGTTAAAACACACAGACTTTCAATAAATGCTTGTGCATTTGCACTGGATTTCCCAAGACCACCCCCAAAGAAACACTCCACCCGGAGGCCCTGGGTTTGATCCCTAGCACCATGAAAACAAAAGCCAAGATTCTTATAGACATTTCTCCAAAGAAAATATGTAAGTGGGCAACAATCACATGAATAGATGCTCAAACACATTATTAGCCACCAGGGAAATGCAAATGAAAGACACAATAAGATATCACTTCACAAACAACAGGATGGCTATAATAAAAAAGAGTCATCAGTGTTGTTGAGGATATGGAGAAATTGGAACCTTCATACATTGCTAGTGGGAATGTAAAGTGGTGGAACTCCTTTGGAAAACAATCTGGCAGTTCCTCAAAATGTTAAAATGTGGAGTTATCATATGGCCAGCAATGCCAGTCTTAGGTCCACCAAAAAATTTGTAAACAAATGTTCATAGTTATTAATAATAACCAAAAGTAGAAATGACCCAAAATCTATCCACAGATGAATAGATAAATGATATGTGGAATAATACTTGACCAAAAGAAGAAATGAAGTCCTGATACATGAATAGTGTAGCATGGATAAAATGTGAAAACTCTACATGGAAGAAGCCAGATGCTAAAAACCACATATTGAATGATTCCATTTACACGAAATGTCTAGAGTAGGCAGATCCCAAGAGACAAAGTAGATAAATGATTGCGTAGGGCTTGGGGGTTTGTTGGGAAGGGAAAAGAGAAGTGAAACCTAAATGATACCAGCTTCTTTTTGGGGTGATGAAAAGATTTTGAACTAGAAAGTTCAGGAGTACCGATTTTAGGTTGGGGCCCCGTCAGGTCTTTGGACACCTGGGGGACTGTCTGAGAGCTTAGGCCCTTGGATGGTAATGACAGTGGTTATGGTTGCACAGAACCTTTGAGAAAGTGCATACACTTAAAAGTGTTATGTAAATTATATCTCAGTAAAACTTTTAAAAAGAGTCTGATTGGCTCAGGCCTTGTCAGTTGTGTAGTTGTGATCCAGTCAGTTTAGCTGGAGAGAAGGGGACTCAAACATGGCTGCTATGGCAGCCACTCTTTGTGGGAGGGGTTAGTTCTTGGAGTAGAAGGATGGGCTGTGGGCTGTGCAGATGCGATAGGAGGTGGTGTCCAGGTATCTTTACTTCCCTGGGGGTGAAAAAGATCAGCTCCCATCTCCTTCTTTCCGGGCATTGCCAGTAGCTCCTGTAGATGCAGTCTTTTGCGTTGGCTGCTGAGCAAAGGATATTCCTGGGCTGTGGTCCTTGCTCCATGAGCTTTGGCTTCCTATCTAGGGACCCAGTGTCCGTGACTTCAAGTCAGCCATGTAACTCTTGAACCTGTCCCTAAGGCATGTGGCTCTGAAGATGGGAGTCTGATGCCACCATAATTAAGCACTGACTATGTGCTTAGATTTCATTGCACTGACTTCTGAAGGTTTGCAACCACTTCACAGAGCAGACACCCTTGCTTTCTGCATTTTAGAAATGAGAAAATAGAGACTTAGAGAGGTTAGGAAACTTGTTCAAGCTCCTCAGCAAGTTAAGTTAGGGAATTAGGATTTGAACCAGGTCTGTACTTTGCTCTGTCTTGGGTGGAGCTGAGTGGTTCTCAGCACCTACTTCCCCACCCTGCTTTCCTGCTTTCTTCCTTATGTGCCTAGGAGTGGAATGTGTAGTCTTTGCTAACAGAATGCACCTCTACCTCAACACTGGCTTTGGGCCAGTCTCCCTACTCCAGGCCCAGATTTAGAGGGGCCTGTGATGCCTGCATGAGGAAGACTCCTAGAGGGCAAGGACTTACTTAACTGCACTGGGGCCCAGGTGGCACAGAGCCACACAGGAACACGGAAACGGGGGTGGTGGCCATGCCATGCAGGAGAGAGAATTGTAGGTTGGCAGGCCCAGGTTATAGCTCCAGGCTAACAAATGGGTGAATCATTAACTTCTCTGGGTCTCAGTTTCCTCATCTGTAAAATGGGAGGATTGGGCTAGCGAACAACCTGCTCTCTAGCTTTAACATACTGGTTTACGTGCACAGCTAAACCTTGGCTGAGATGGTGGGTCCTCACTGCAGGATA